CAGTCCGGGTTTTCCTCCATTCCGTACTCCGGGAAAAATCCAGTCCGGGTTTTCCCCCATTCCGTACTCCGGGAAAAATCCAGTCCGGGTTTTCCCCCATTCCGTACTCCGGGAAAAATCCAGTCCGGGTTTTCCTCCCCCCCCCCCGCCTCTTTTTCCCCCTCTTTCCCGGTCGCTCCCGGAGGATGCTGCGGGACCGGCAGTCCCCGGAGCTGTGCGGGGTCCGGCGGGAGGGGCTGGGGGGCTGCAGTGGTGGGTCGGGGCTCATCTCGGCTCCCGGGGCTGGCGGGGCTCGCTGGGGAGCGCTCGGTGCCCGTTCCGTGCGGGGGCTCGTGGGGAGCTCCCCATTCCTGGGGGAATGACCCGTCCTGCGGCTTCTGGAGGGCTGAGCTGAGCTCGGGACAGCGCGGGGCGGCTGGGATGAGCAAAGGCAGCTCCTGCTGCTGCTGCTGGAGCGCTTGGCAACCCAAAGAGTGAGGGAGGTTTTGTCTCCTGCTTACGGAGCACGATACTGGGGCTGAATCGTTCCCAGGGAAGTGTCCGCTTGAACGAGGTGTTTCCCAGCGACATACCAATGCTGGGCTTTGGGTCTTTGCAGCGATTGCGGTGGTGTCTGCTGCTGGGCAGATGGCCGGGAGCGGGTCATATCCAGGGAGCAGCGCAGGCAACACCAGGACGTGGGATTTCCTTTAAAGTTCACCTGTTTGTAGCTTTCCTCCCCTGGCTTGGAGTCTCTTTGGTAGCTTGTGACCTGTGTCAGGTGTCTTTGGTTTGGTTTTGTTTTGTTTTCCCGATCAAATGAAAAGGGTGGGTTTTACCACAGGCAAGATTAAGGAGGTTTTGAGAAACACTGGAGAGAGCTGTCTAATGTTCCATCAGGGCATCCAAGCTGTCGGTGCAGAAAGGCAGGCAAACTGCAGGGTTAGTACTTGCAGAGGGATGACATGACGTTTATTGTTGATTGGGCCCTTTGTCATTCTTAAAAACGAAGGAAATACTTGTGACAGACAAAGCCGGTGTTGTCCGCCGTTTGTTTTGGCCGCTCTGGGAGCACCGGAGCTGTTCTGGGGCAGTGGGGGGGCGCGGCTGCAGGGGGAGCTCCCGGTGAATGGTTCTGGTCCGGACAGGGCTAAGGGCGCTCCCAGCTCTGCTGTGGGGGTGGGAGGCTTTTTTTCTGCTTGTTTTTAGAGCCAAGAGATTTCTGTGATGTCGGTCGCACCGCTTGCAATTGTTCTTTTCAGTAGCAGTGAATACATTTGATAAGCCAGGGGCTTCTACGATTCAGTTGTTCTAAATGAGGTGATTCTCATAGTGAGCAGTTGGAGCTGTTACACAGTGTGAAAGAATCTAGCACAGTTAAAATTTGGATAAAAGTTTTGCAAAGCTGTACTTGGGGAGCTTTATTTCCTTAGGTGAGAATTACAGACAAAGGGGCCGCTTTCTTAATTTAAAAGTATTGTCACACACCTAACTTGCTACTCTGAAAGCAATACTAAACAAAAGCAATCACATTCTTTTGTGAATTTTGTAATTCTACTTATTTTAAGTCTACAAAATCCTTTCCCTGATAAAGTAGAGAACAACTGTATGCAACAGGAATGTACTAGGCTGAGCCAGCTCAGAAGGATATATCCTTGTGAAAACCATATATTCTTTCCCAATACCTTGGCATACAACACTGTCATTCCTCAGACAGGGACAAAAATGAAATGCTTGCAGAAACGCAACATGTGACATAAGACCAGGAAAAATTCAAATCAGCAACATTGTAAATTATATTGTTCAGTTAAAGTGACAAACTGATACATATCTATGAAGGGGTATGGTAGAAAGAAAAATTCTTGGAGTGGCTGGTTCTGAGGGTGAAGGGCTGGGGGGGAAGTAAGTAGGATGAGGCTTAGTTCATCTTTTCCACAAATTCCCCTGGAAGAAGCTCCACACAACCACCAAGGACAGGGTGATTAATTCCAACACAGACAGAGCCTAATCCCTACTAAGCACAAAAGACATCAATTAGGGCTGAGGTACCACAGCCCTCCAGATCTTGGTATCCCTTTCACGTGCTGTTTAATGATCAGTTTTGCACTGATCATTAAAAGCTTTCTTATATCCAAAGCTAACAGCCAGCAAATAGTTCATTTTGGAGCAGCAGGTCTTGCAACTTAATGTTTTCACCCATAGTACTTACCCTGCTAAGTTTTTTCTTCTGTAAAACCACCATGCTCTGGCAGGATACACACACTTCCTTCAATGATCACTTTTTATAACTTTCTCCCCTTTATAGGTGTGATAAAGCAGAGGTGTGAATGTACCCCAAGTTAAGTCAGCCTGAGATTTACACATACAGGAAAAACAAATGCTGTTTGTGCTTCCATTTGGCATCCTGGAACTGTAATTTTTTTAATTTTTTTTTTTTTTTTTAAATAGGCAACAGTGATCATTGTTGAGAACTATACATGGAGTCTTCTCTCCTGTCCAACTGACGAAGTGACACTCCTGGCCTAGAGCAAAAGTCCTCATCAGTATTTTGTAACTGACTGAATATGCATTTTGCACTGTTATTTAATCTTATTTTGCTGGTCCTTAAGGTATTTGCTGCCACACTTGCACACTGTATACCTGTTATCAGAAGTCTGAATGGATGACCAAGTCTCAGAACAGACAGCTTTGCGTTTTGTGTACATTCCAGACAATTTCAACACGTACATCCTCAGTCCATCCCAAGTGTCTGCTGCAGAAGCAGGATTAGGAAAAGCTACCAACTTCCAAACAGCCACAGATAAAGGAAGAAATGCTCCCTTTGTAGAGTTCCACCCAGAATTAGTATTAATTTTCACCATGTGGAGCTCATCTTTGAAAGCTTCTCCTTCTCTTCACATAATTCCATCAGTGACAAGTATCTGTGCCTTAGTGAGCCCAGTCTTAAGAGCACCCCTTGAGAAATTCCATCTACAAAACCAGAAGCTCCTCTGCTCCAACCCACACCTCCCACAGTTCAGGGCACCATTTTGTTTGCATCAGTTTGCTCATGAGAACCGGATTCCTGTCCTGGCACTTCCTGCCCTTTTTACAGAAGCTGTGCAGGAAGAGTAGGATGTTCTGAGTCAGCACAAAGCACAGTGGTTGGCAACAGCACATCCAAGATGAGAGGAGTGTTTGTCTTGGGAAGTACATTTTATTTTAGTGTAAGTGCATTATCAAATTCAAGGGCTTTTTCTTTTGTGAAAGAGGTCATTGTTAAGCCTCCCATGCTTTTAGGTTGCACCCATGTCAGACTACACAGCTGCATTAATGCCAAACCATGATCAATTAGCACTTGAAATACATCTTCATTTTATATTCATGCTTGTTGACCAGAGGAAGCTTAACAGGACCCATCCAGCAGAAGGCGTAGTAAAGCAGATGGACAGAAAACATCCTCAAAGACTTCACCTGAGCTCAGCCCTGCCAAGGTGCCTCTAGGAGGGCAGAAGTGAAAGATCAGTAACAGACAATTCCAGTTGTGCCAGTTAGAGGCATAATTTCAGATGTGCCAGGGATACACACAGTGGTTGCCTGTACTGGTTCCAGAGGACTGATTACCTCCAAGCCTGGCTGACCTGGAAGCTACAAAGTAGAGCAAGGCAGGTCAATTCACATTAACACTGAAAAAAAAAAAAAAAATTGTCCCAGATGTCCTGATTTAATGCAAGTTTTGAAGTAGTTCTGAATAGCTACAAGAATCAAATCAGAGACACCAAGCCCCATATTAAAAGCTGCAAAGGTTTAGTTCCAGAACACACGCTGAGGAGGATGAAAAGGCCACACAATCACATATACAGCTGCAGAGTGATTGGTGAGGAAGTTCTGTGGACAGACTTCATATCAAACGTAACATATTGTAAGAAAATCAGTATCTAACAGTGTTTCGAGGACTTGGTTATAATAACTGCACTCGCAGTTAACTCTGAACATTTTAAGGAATTACTGCCCTTCATTTTTATTTTTGTCAGCAGCAGTTTGTACTGTCTGGCACTTTAAATGGACATGAGTTTTCTGGTCACTAGTTACTGAATCTCAGTTGACAGGCAGTATCACTTAGTTCTGCAGAGGTAGCAGTGTTCAAATCCAACTGCACAGATAGATGCTACTAGTTTAAGTCATCCATGATTCCCTCCCAAAAGACCATATTATAGGTACAATACAGATACACTCTTTTCAGCTACTATAAAATGGCACAAGATAAAATGACTCACTGGGATCTCCTAATGAATTGTTCATTTTTAATCACAGCTCTCCAGGCACTGGTATGTATCAATAGAAAA